TGGACTTATGTGGACCAGTTCTAGGGGCAGGTTCTGGCCATATCATAGCACCCACTGGCAGGTATGAGATCTATATGGGGTGCAGGCGGCCAAAAGAAAGCAATAAAAACCATTCGTTAGGCTAGATAAGCGCTGCCTGTCTTAGGAACCTGAGGGACCCTCAGCTCTTACCTGTCTTTGGGCAGCCAGGCCAAACCAGGCTGCAGCCCTGTCGGTTGGTTGGGTACCAGCCAGATGCCCGTCATTGGCACATGTAAGATCAGGAAAAGCAAGGCTTTATATTCAGATAAGCCCTGCAAGACTGCAGCTGCACAGCCACTGGTGAGCTGAGAATTGGGACTTGAGGAGGGTAACCACATTTTTGGCCTCAAGAACTAGAATAAGTGCAGCTTATCCATTTCAATAAGCTTTCCCTGACAAGGGTAGAACTGGGGTCTCATTTATTTAAATTATACTGGTGGCTAATTGACTGGTAAAATTTAGGAAGGCGTTAGAGAGTGTCCCTAGTAAGTTAATTGTTACACTCTACTGGGCTGCAACTCCTGCAGATAATATATGATGGTGTATTAGGGGCAGTTGGCTGGTGAATTCAAAAGCACCTACTTAGGTGTGGGCTGGTATGGTTGAGCTACTAACTGCAGAATGCATAGTGCTATGAGAACTGGAGGCATGTGAGCTATCCAGACTAAATACTGCACATCAGGCATGTGCAAACTGAGTTAGGGTGGGCCTTGGGAAGGGAAAAGGCGTTCACACTGCTGTTGTACTGGGTTGAGCTAGGCCATAGTACCAGCAATTTGTGTGGGGGTGATCTGGGGGTTGAACTGACCAATAGCTGCATTCATCAGTATTTGTGTAGAGATGTGTGATGAAGTAATCTGGTTGAACTAAATAGCATACAGAACAGTAGGTATGAGGTCACCCCAAGCAAGGTTTTTGGGAGACTCTCCAACTAGACCACTGGACTCAACCTTAGTCACAGGGAAAAATCACAAAATTTGAGATCTGATCTTAAAGTACATGGACAGATTTAACCTCCTCAGCTGCTGATGCCTGTGCAGTGGACAGCATGCCCAAAGCAAACGGAGAACATGACAGCTCATCTAGGCCAGTAGAGTATGTCGAGTGTGTCATCCAAGGATGGAAAGCTCAACAGTTTGGACAACTCTCCTGGCCAAGCTTTGTAGCATCTTCTTGGGTCTGTGGATGTACTAAGGTGGACTTTGTCAACAAATAAGTCTTGGAAAGATTTTCTCAACCCTGGAGCAGTGAGACCAGTGTTTAGAATTTAAAACACTCAAGTGACACTCTCAGAATGACTCTTCCCCACATCAGGGTTCTAGACAAATGACAGTCCCCCAGGTGTTGATGTAGTTTGGGCAAAATAACCCCTTCTCAAGACCACCCCAAGCAGATAAGAAGAAAATTGAGGAAAAAGCAAAAAACATTTGGCCCTTCCTCCTTGTGCCATACCTCAGGGAGGGACACTCTAATTAGGGACCCACATTAACTTGAAATGCTTTAAAAATGAAAGAAGAGAATGCCTTTTGGTTGACCTGACTGTGCTACTGACTGTGGGGAGGAGCTGTAGGAGATGCTCCCTGTTGGAGCACATTCTCTTGTGTGAGTTATCCTCACTTCCTACCATGCCCTAGTTTTCCATTGGACCAGTGACTTGCCTCCCTGGCCACTTCAAAAGTCCTTCTCAGTTCATGCATTTGAAATCATGTTAAACTATTGAGCTGAATGTCAAATAGATGTAGAAAACAATAATGGTGACTCCTAGGAGCCTACATTTGCAAGTATACATTATTTTCAGGTTGATTCTGTTTTCCAAAAGTGAGCATACATATTAGAACACACATTGTAACAACAGTTTGGGAGACTTGAGAATTCTCTTAAGTGTGTCTAAAGTTCAATGAGAGAATTATTATTATTAGATTATTATTCCTGCTCTTAGTTTCCCATTAAACAGACATTCAAAGGATACCGTGTTCAGCTGGAACCTGAATGCTGGGTCTGCTATGTTTCCGGCCCTGAGTAAGAGGCAGTTGGATGTCTACACAGCAAGCTTCAGATCTATCCTTCCCAGCCTTGAATCTAGTCACAGTGACACTAAGAGTTTGCATGGGAGTTCTGCAAAGGAGCCTCCTTTTTCCTCTAAAGCTGGTTGGGTTTTTATTACTTACTATTGAATCCTCCAGAGATCAAAGACTGTTCTAAAAAATTGCTGCAAGCTGTGTCAGCATAGCAGGAAGAGCTCACAGTGCCAACAGAGCTGGACTCAGACATTGGAAGGGCCACCCAGAGGAGAATTGACAGGGCCTATGTGGGAGTTACACTGAAGCGAGACTTTTAAAGTGAATAGTTTCAGATTGTCTGTTAACAGAGTTAGGGGAGCAAGAACCAGCAGGGGCCGGGGCTGGAGTCAACCGTATCCAGAATAAGGCATGTACTTGCTTGCTGGACGAAGAAGGAAGGCTTCTTGTTTAACCTGTTGGATAGAATACAGAAATTCCAGAACTTTAATCAACCCACTGGACTAAGAAAGACTTGAGTGAAGCTGGATGTGAGAATTCAGGTTGTTTAAACAGAGAAATACCTAAGGTTCAATGCTGAAATTTTTGAGGGCCACAGCTTTCCGTGGAGATATGAATTCATGCTGCTCAACCTGGGAAAGACAGAACCAGAAGCAGGCTGCTGTGGAAGGTGGGGCCATGGCAGGGAGCAGTAGAGAGATTGGCCTGAGGACGGGAACATCCTCCAATAGTTCTTTCCTGGGCAGCCAGATTTTCCTGTAAAGGTTATAAAATGAGGCTGAACTAGGTCTTAAGACCTTATTTTAAGGAGAAGCCACTAATTTTAAGGGAGAATTTTCAGCTGCTTCACGCTGCTGCATCTCAGGCATGCAGGCAGGCCGGGACTTGGCCAGGCCAAAACCAGGAGCTGCATCATGGTTTTCAAATACAGGGAGCTGATTTTTTTTTTTTGCTTTTTTAATTAATGGAGCTGCTGTATCAGAAGTGGAGCAGCCAACCTTTCAGGAAGGTGGATTTACCCACTGCACCACAGCACTTGCCCCTAGAAGTTTTCTTAAATTTCTGGTGATTAAAGATCTCAGAGCTGACAAAAATCAAGAGGCATGTTATCTGGAGAGCCTGCTGCAGCTGTGGGAGGAGTGGGCCCTGTTAAAAGAAACATTGCCACGGGGTTTTAAAACACTGTTGGACTTTTACATCTGAATCAGACTTCAGTTCCATTGTTTTAAGGAAACATTGCAAATTTCACACATTTTGTTTTACTAACATTTTGAAAGACTTCAAGTTCTCAAACAAGGCAAAGCCACATACTTCCTGAAATAGAACACAAGACTACAATTTGAACCAATTTTATGACAGCATATTTACTCAATAAACATGTTAATACATATGTGTATGCATATATCTGAACCAATTTCATAATGTTATGTATTGTAAGACCCATAATCCAAATTATCATCAATTATAAGCACATTATACCAACGCATCTCCACTTTGAGAGGAGGGAGCGACGGTCCAAATAAGACTTTGAAGAATTTAGAAGCAAATGGTTAACAAAAGTTAGCATTTAAATGAACAGTTCAATACTGCAAGTTAGACAATCAATAACAGAACAAGCACAGCCCAGCTGTCCAACCCAGGAGTGGAAACTGGACATTGGGAGGCCAAGGCAGCCAGTGCTGCAAGGTCCTGCAATTTGAGAGCTCTCTTTATTTACCAGGGAGAATGGTAGGTACATCATGGTCCGCCCAGAACGTCAAGAACAGCCAGGACACATGCAGACTGTTCAGACAGAACATAAACAACAACAGTCAAAGTCACCACTGGAGTTAGGTGGAGCACAAAATTTAGTTGTCCTGGAGTGTTCATGTAGCACACCCAACAATATTTTAAAACAAAAATAAACACAGCAAGTTAAGATATCAGAACAGGTCACAGAACTACAGGTCATTTGCAACTTCCAACATTTCTTTGGAATACTTTATTCCCATCTATTTCCTGAAACCAGCTTTCATAATTACTCATGCTGGGAGGCAATTTAACAGCAAGTAACCATATGCCACCCACACTACTCCTAGTTCATTTGGTCCCATTTTTTTTTGTTTTTGTTTTTTTATATAGAACCTTAAATGACTTATATGAACCTTATGGGGATGCCAAATTAAAAACTGACCAACAAAATCGAAAAAGGTTTTGAGGTCTTAATCACCCAAATTCCTCGTTCTTGAATAAGTCTATAAGACTGACCCTGCAAGAACAATTCTTGTAGTGATAATGCTTGTCCCATCTTACCTTAACCCCGTAAGATTTGCGCCACGAATTTAAACTGCTCACCCGGTGTTCTACTCAACACCACTTCGAGAGGCCTCTCCTTTTGCGTGGCGATCTCCCTGTCTGTGGTCTGCACACCAGCCACGTTGGGCGCCAAATTGCCCCACGTTGGGCGCCAAATTGTCCCGTCCAGCAGGACAGTCAACGGGGGTTGCAACCACCTAGGAGAGATTGGGGGACAAGAGACACGAAGAATGGACAGCAAGACAGGATGTCTGATCAAGCTGTCAGTTTATTGATTTTAATTGAGGGTTTTTATACTCTTCAGTAACTAAGGCTCAGGGAGGAAAGGAGAAACTAGGACGCAAGCCATGGTCTCCAGACCGATTGTTCTTGAGCAGCCACCATATCCACAATAGTAACCAGCATATCAACAATAGCATAGGTAATCAGTAACAGATGTCATCAGGTACAACATAAATCACATTCTGAAACAGTTGCTAGAAACAATTGAAGCGTGTGAAGCAAGTGATTAGCCCAAGCTTCTAGCCAGCTAGGCGATTTTCCACTGGCCCGTAGTTCTATATTCAAAATGGCTTCAGTGTGGCTATAGTACACGGCTCCTGACAGGCCTTCAGGGGACTGTGGGTACCATGAAGTGTTCGTGATAGCTGGTTTTTTCCCCGTCAGTAGCGTGTCCTGGAGCATGCCATCAGGGCCCCCGCTGTCTATCCCGTGACTGGCGATGTGCAGTTTGATGGCTTGAGAAGGCAGCAATGACCAGATTCCACTTGGTCAAGGTAAGACTCTTGAAACCTCCTTGTCCAGCCCAGCAGCTTTCACTCGTGGTCTTAGTGTCCGTGACGGTCTGTGTGTGAATATTCGTGGAGGACAGCAGTGATTCCCTTTTGAACTTGAATGTGACAGTAGCACTGTAGCATTCATGAATACTTTCTTGATGGTTGCCATGGAACCCACTTGGACTTTCTGTCCATGTCAGCCTGAGCCAGCTGGGGTGTGCATGCCGCGCAGAGGTCCAGCTTGCTTGTCAGCACAGGAAGCTGTGGCCGTGGTGGTGGTGTGTACTTGGTGACTGAACAGCATGGATAGTTCCCAGGCCATGCTCACCTGTATTATAGACTCCTGGCAGCTCATGGTCGTCACCACATACCCGGGGGACACCCGATGAGTAGAAAATATCAGAACCTGTGCGGACAGCCATCTCTGCTTCCAGCCTTGTGGACTTAGAGCTTGGTTGTGCCTTCATGACTTCTGACTTCCTTCTAATCATCTCGGCTGCCTCCTCGGATCACACCACTAACCCTTTGCTTGTTGAACAAAGAGAAGGACCCCCTACCCCCTAACCCCCACCTGCTGATGGGAGCAAAGGACAGCCACATGTTCCAGGGTGAGACCTGATTTTAACTGGGAGAGTGTGAAACAGCAGTGATAGCGTTGTTTTTAAGTTGGGAGCACATGAGGGTGTGGAGGAGTGTGTCAGCTACAACCAGCTTTCTACAGCATGGAGCTTCTGTACCCCCCCACTGTGTGTCTTGCTGGCAGCCCGGGCCCTTTGCCAGCACAGCCAGTTCACCCTACCTGGACTGACCCTGGGCCAGGGGAGAGGCTTGGGCCCTCCCCTTTTCCCCACTGTGGGAGCGCCTTTCTTCTCTGCTCAGGAGGCCAGGCCTCCTGCTGGGTCAGCATCGTCCCACGTGGCCAGAAGCCTGGTCTTCTTGTTCACGAGCTTTCCCCCTCTGCCACGAACTGGATCTGGTCACATGTCCACTGTGCATGTGGGAGCGTTCATCTTGATGGCCTCCGAGATCATCCTGGCTCCAGACTCGCCAATGTGATTGCCTTGGATGCTGGAAGAAAAGCAGCAGGGCATGGCCGGAGCCTGCAGGTTCTGATGTCCCCACTGACGTCTGCAGAGGAGCCCAGCCTGGCCTGGGAGGGTAGATCTGGCTGAACGCACTCACTTGATATGCCGCAGCCCACAGTTTTCGGACAACGCTGTGGCCATGCATATGGCTCCATCCACACCCAGGGCATTCTCTTGGAGGCTAGACAGAGGCAACACAGGGACACCATAATGAACTCCTAAGGAGGGCTGCTGCCATGTCTTCTGGAGGTGCCAAGGGGCGGGTAATGTGGGGTTGATGTTTCCACAGCCACCAGCAGCATCTGACCCTGACTCTGGCTTCTACAGGTATCCAGGTAACACCCACCCAGGATGGTGAATGCAGATATTAAGTGGCTGGCTGGTGGCTGACACTAGTCAGGTGGCCCAGTGTGTTATAGGTGCTCTTGGTAGCAGAGGAGATGGGCACGGGGCAGTCCCTGGGGCCACTTACTTGAGTCTCCGGAGGCTCGCGTTTACCTTCAGAGCTTTAGCCAGGGCTTTGGCTCCGTCCACCCCAATAGCATTCCCTCGTAAGCTGTGGGGAAAGACAGGTTGCCTGAAAGGGGCTACCAGCACCTCTTTAGAAGGGTAAGGGGTTCCTTCAGCCCCAGCAATGGCAGGGGGTGAGCAGAGCTCCTTCCTCACTCCTACATAGTAGCAGAGTTGGGCGTGAGGGAGTGGAATATTGAAGGATGGATGGGGCTGGCCAGATTGCGGTCACTGGCAGGGGTTCCTTGATCAGGGCAAGGCCACCTGGAGAGCAGGAACTGAGTACGAGAAGGGAAAGCCACAGGAAAAGGCGGAAGTGGAATGGGAAGACCCTGGAGCACACTTAAGTTGACAGTTTTCAGCTGACTGTTCATTCCCGCTCCACGTCTATTCAGCATGGTTTCTTTGGGCAAAAGATGGTACTTAGAGACTGGAATACTTACTCGAGGACCTGCAAGGTTGTGTTGACAGCCAGGGCCTCCCCTAGGGCCTGGGCCCCCTGAGCACCAATGGAGGCCACCTGGAGACTGAGAAGAGGGGCAGTCAAGTGCTGGTCCCACCCTGAGCCTGCCTTCAGCCTCTGCCTTCATCCACCCCACTTCTACCCCAGCACAGGGCAGAACAAACAGCACCGCCAAGTGATGGCCAGCAGTGTCCCCAGAGAATACCACTGTGCATGCTGCATCTAATGGGACATAAGGGAGACTCCAGAGAAGCTTGGGGTGACTGCACCCTTAAATCTGTCTGCAAGTTTGATTTCTCCATTGCTAATCCATTAATGTCACGTTAATACTTCCTATAGTAATGTTGGAAGGATTGAATGCCAAGTCCTTGACTGGGAAATGACTAGGGGCTGATGAAGGGCTGGGGCTGCCACGTGTGTCAGGACTTACTAGAGTGCAGTGAGCACCGTGTTCACCTTCAGAGCGCCAGCCACTGCGGAGGCACCTTCGTCGCCAAGATTGTTTTCCTGTAAACTGAACATGGCATGTGAGCCCCTTGGTGCCTGGGCAACAGGCCAGCTCTCCAGTAGCCAGAAAGAGACTCATGCACACAGGGCATCCTTGGGGATCCTCCTGGCAGCCTTCGCAGCCTATGCCAGAGCTGGATGGTCTGGGGAGCTGCGTGAATCTGAAGCAGAGGAGGCTGACTGGAGAAGGGACTTGTGGAGGCCACAGCCAGCCAATGAAGGGTGGGGCAAAAAGGGTGTGCTTGCCAAGCTCAGCTGCAGCTCTCAATGCCCAGCCATTCTTGGCATCAGGATTCTGTGCTTGGTTTTGTCATTTTCTTTCCCTGCTAAGTCAGAGGCAGAGCTTGAAACAGAAGATGACAGAGGTTCCAGCAGATGTGGGCTTCTTAACAGACGTGTGTATGCGTGTGCATCTGCGTGTGTTTAGGGGATGTGCACAAGATGGGGAGGCATAATGAAGCCAGCAGCTGCCCAAGAGGCCACATGCACGCTGCAGCTCCCTCCCAGTGTGGTCACAGGACAAACAGGTCAAAACCAGCCCCAGAAAGATGAGACGTAGGAGTGGGTCCAGCCATTCAAGAATCGGGAGAATGGAGTCCGGGGAACCTGTGTGGGGATCACAAAGGGCCCTGCCAATCACTGGAGCACCCAGGAGACAGCTGTCATTCAGGAGAGGAAGCCCCGGGACACAAAGGTTAGACAGAAGAAAAGCAGGAGGCCCAGCCAAAGAAGAAATATTCTAGAAGCTGATGGAGAGGAAACAGATGAAGACTCAGAGATCATACATGGTTTCAGAAGACCCCGACAGTACTTCACTGTGAAGCAGGAGTGTTCACGGCTGCCCGACAGTGGACACAGTGTCTGTCACCAAAACGAGCAGGTGAAACCTGTGTCTGTCTGTACCATGGCCACGTCTGTCTGTATTTCAGCTGCAAAAAGGAAGTGCTGACATGCCACGACATGGTGACCCTGGAAGCCAGCATGCTGGGTGAAAGACGCTGGTCCCCTCAGTGATGTGTTCACCACAGGGGGATTCACAGGGACAAAGTCGAGTGAGAGGGAGGGTTGGGAGAATGGGGAGTGTTGCTGACCAGTTGGGGCTTCCTTCCTGTGGTGGCGATGGCCAATTCGTTGGAGTATGAATTGTGACCTTCCAGTGGGTGGGTTTTATGCTTTGTGGAGGCTGTGTGTGTGTGTCTCTGTCTCTGTCAAAGTCCCTCAGGGTGAGCCCCACCCTGGCCAGCCCTGACTTCCCAAGTTCCCCTTTCTGCCCCCTCCCCACAGCTCCTGCAGGCAGCACTTACTCGAGGCTCGTCAAGCTCCTGTTGAGTTGCAGAGCTCGGCCCAGGGCCCTGGCAGCACCAGCCTGGATGAAGTTCCACTGCAGGCTGGACAGAAACAGACTTGTGTGACCACAGGGCCCAGAATGGTCTGCCCATGACTTCTGTGCCCTCCTTATATGGGGTCCTGAAGTGATCAGAGGTGGCTACAATGAAGCCAAGTGGCTCTTGTGTGAGGAAGGCCCTGGGATTCCCTGAGGCCAGCTTTGGCGGCATTTGCTCACACTGGGCTGAGCGAGGTGGGTAAGTTTAGTGCAGATGGCAGCCGGGGGAGGATGCTTGGGGTCAGGGAGGGAGGCATTGCCAGGTCAATGCATTTGGTGTGGTTGGGCATAGGCCCTGCAGCTGTATGGAATGGGCAGGGTTGGGCTGAGGTGCAAACTCACTGTAGGGACCGGAGGGTGCGGTTTCCTCCCATGGCAGCCGCGATGGCCTGGGCGCCCTGGTCGTGGAGCAGGTTAGCTGTCAGGCTGTAGGGGAGGGGATGAGTGAACAGGAGCGGCCCCGAAGGTCCTGCCATGGGGTCTTGACCAGGAGCTCACAGCTGCAGGTTACTCTCCTGTGCCAGGCGTAAGCCCTGGGCTGCTGTTTTAAGTCCTCACAACAACCCAGGGCAGGCACCAGGCTCAGTTCAGCAAGTGCAAGGCAAGGGAACTGTGGAGCTGCCCAGCCAACTGCAGGATCCCTACCCGCAGGCCTGCCCTCCTCGCACCCTTGTGTCAGTCACACTGGGGGGTCGTGTCACAGTTGCTACAAAACACCAGCCTGTTGACTCAGTGTCTGGTGGTGTTGCCGCCCAAGGAAGCAGAGGCTGCCCCTCCTCCCTCCAGTCCCCAGCACGTACTCCAGGTTCTCCAGGGTGCTGTTGGTGCAGAGTGCGTGGGCCAGAGCCTGGGCACCCTCAACGCTGATGGAATTCTCGCGCAGGCTGTGGGGGACCCAGGAGAGAAGACCCTAAGCTCATGCCGGGCCAGGTGAGGCTTCCAGCAGAATCATATGTCCTTGTGTGAGGAGCCTGGGCAGTGCAGGGACACCTGATGGACTTGTGCATGGTCAGGAAGCAGCAGAGCAGGCCAACTGAGGGCCACAGTGGTCCCCCACCCTCCGGAGGAAACAGGGACAGAGGCAGGCTGCATGCTGCAGACCCAAGCCTGCTTCTACCACAGGTTTCCTATAGTAGCTTCTAGGACCCAGGCTTTCCTTCCAAGCTCTGAAGGGCATCTGATGGGGAGGGACTGGGACATACCTGAGGTGGAGAAGGGTGCAGTTGGCACAGAGGGCCCCTGTCAGCGCTGCCACACCCGCGTCACTGATGGAGTTGCTCTGCAGGCTGCAGGCAGAGGGTGGCACCCTTGGCCTGGCTGCACAGCCCAGCACCACAGGCACTGGTTCAACAGAGTTGGGGGACCCTGGGGACAGGTACTCCCACACTGCTTATCTCCCTTCCCCCCACTTTTTGGCTCAAACAGGCTCAGCAGAGGGGAGTGGGGGTGGCTCTACAATCCCCTGAGAAAGTGCTCAGCAGAGTGTCCCCCCAGGGATTGCCCAGCTCCACACTGCAAGACCAAGTCACTGTGCAGTCTCTAGCGCCAGCTCCAATCCTACCAGGC